TTGGCAGCATTCACAGTGATGCCAAGGATTCAAGGAGGACTCGAACCCATCCCAGCATGAGACCAAAGTTGTGGTGGTATCATGACAGCCTGGACTGCTGCTGCTGATCCCAGACCTGGCCTGGAGATAAGCAGGAGTCCAAGCTCCAGTGCTGCCAGACTAGCAATAAGCTAGGACAGAAAGCTGACAGGCTAAGGGTTTGTCTACAGCACCTCCACAGCACACTCAGAAACCCGACTTCCAATAATGGCATGAGCTCCTGTACTCCGTGCAGTGATAGCTAAGGCTCCCCTCATTGAAAGAAATGACAACCTAGTGGTTAAAGCCCAGGGCTGGCTCTAACAAGTATGTTTAGCCCTGCAAAGGATGTTCACCTCTTTGACCACAGGCAAGTCACTTCCCCTCTCTGTACCTCAGGCAGCACCAAGAGACCTGCTAAATGATGTGGGCACCATAATGCTGTGCACTCACTCTACACACACCCAAAAGACAGTCCCCTATGTTAGCGTAGAGGTGAGTTGTAAAGGTTAGGCTCACCAATGTTTGTAACATATTTCAAGACCCTGGCTTGAAACACATTCAATAAGTGCAAAGACTGATTCACGCTTATTTCTGGACTCTGGTTTTGTCCATCTGAACAGGTCCCTGACCTGTAATACCTAATAGCAAATAAAAGCCTGCAATATTATACTCGCCACTTAAAAATTTACCTGAGAACAATGGGAAACAGCTGGTATGTTTTACCAGGAAGTGAAGAGTCACGAGTTCACTTTGTGATAAAAGGTCACATTCGTGCCAAGAACAAGCTGATGAAACATCACCTGTAACAATGGTGGCATTGACCACACATTACCTCTCCCCACAGAAATAGAAGTAGTGTATAGAGACCGCATTGATAACAGACTTTCCAAGGAAACCGTCCTTCACTGCACTACAGTCGCTGTGGCCCAGATAAGACAGAACGGTGACAGAGGCCACCTGAGCCCTGCCAACTGCGCTCTGCCACTGCTTCTCCACTGAGCCCGTAAGACTGCATTAGCCAGGGAGAGCTGTTCTCAAATGCTTTTTGTTGACTGCAGAGGCTCTTGTCATGTTCCATTGCATGGGTAGAGCATAAAGGAAGAGTCTGAAAGTCAGATCAGGTGGGAGTTTATAGAAATTGTAAATGCCGGAGAACTGACCAGCAGATTCCCAGAGAAGTAACAAAAAATATTATATCTTTACAAAAACATCAAGAATCTTATGGGCAAAAATGTTGGAGTTTTTGCTTCAAGGAAAGCCACAGGCAATACAATACTATGAAGCATTCACAAAAGCAGCCTGTAATCAAAGCCTGCATCCAGATACCTCAGCCCTCTGTACAGCCAGGCATTTAGTCACATCAACAATCCCACTGATCTAATGCGACTCCTCGTCGTAGAATTAAGCACATGCTTAAGTGTTTGCTAAACCGGAACTTATGGGTTATAAGGTGTTCAGCATCTTGAACTCCTACCCAAGTTTGTTGCTGTGTTTTGGTTAATTTCCAAAAAAAGAAAACATGGAGCTCACAGAAACTGTGACATCTTCAGACCAAACCACCTGTCTCTCCTGATGAGCTAACTTGGTGAAAGAACCAAGAGGATTTTTCAAGTCCAAAAATGTTTTAAATGCATTTTATTGGAGCAGCAGCCAGCCTGAACTTGGCAAAAGCAAGCAGCACTTTACTGTCATAAAACAAAGAGTCTGAAAAGAACTCTGCATTAGTTTGATCACCTGTCAACTGAAGGAGAAGAGAGGCCACAGATACTTGTGTAAACAGCCTTGACTACTGTGCTTTAAGTTCCAAGTACCGGTGCTTTTCAGATGAATATCTTTCTTAGCTATCCGTGCACGTGAATTGCTCGTAATTATGTTCTCTCCTTCCACTGCTTGCCAGCCAAAAGGAATCCTCCCAAGTTTCCTCGAAATAGCAGCTCTAATGAACTCTGCCTGCTAGTTACGACAGGAAGGATGCACTGTGTACAAATGCCACTTAAGGCACGATGCAGAACCAGGCTGAAAACAAAGCCAAGCCAAGCCCAATGCCCTGAACTCCTTCCTTTCCTTTTTTGTGTGCTTGCGACCAGGTATTTAGCAGAATTTGCAGATTCACTGGAATCTGATACAGCCACACCATAAGCACTTCTACGGCAGCCTCAAACTTGTCATCTTTGGGCCGTCAAATGCACAACTTAGTGCCCGCACCATGCCGGCTCCCCCCCCCCCAAATTCTTTGAAACATTGGGTAAAAGCTGCATTCCCAGATTGGACAAGAGACTCTCAGAGCTATGTTGCAACACTTTTCAGACCCACGATGGCTAGATGAGTAGAGCTGCACCCCTGGGATACCGGCTGGCAGAAATGCAGCCAGCTGGGGAGAAGTGCTCATATTAAGGTAGCAAAGGCTCAAATGGGGATTGTGCTAGGTCCTCTACAAGTCAAGAGGAGAAACACTCTCAGACCTCAGCCTACCCAATGTGAAAGGAGCTTGGCAGGGCTCTGCTCCGCTCCAGATAGACTGGGTTTATAACTAGCAGGAGTGCCTAAAAAAATCCTCCTCCCTGGCTTGCTTATAGTCCCAGCAAAAAGCCCAGGACAGAACAGACCTGGGAAACAAACTGCCCATCTCTCAGATGCACTCTTTCCACATCAAGCACAGGGCTGCTCCTCACCCGCAGCCCTACACAATGCTCTGTGGTAAGAAGAGCACAAACTCACTGGAACAGTTAATCTAGCACTTTTGACCACTAGTAAATTCACCACCCACCTACACATCTGGGCAGACTACTGCCATACTTGGCTATTCCTGGTTGCCATGCAGCCCAAGCCTACTCACACAGTCCTTGCCTCAGGCTGTTGCTCCTATCTCAGCATAGGATACTCAGCTAAACACTTAAGCCACCTCCTGCAGTTACTGCAAGTCTAGACAGGAAGAGCCCAGAGAGACCAAGCCCCAGTTCTCACTCGTTGCTCTCCCAGGCTAGGAAATAAATGGACATCGTTTTGTCAGTAAAGGTGAAACCTGGAAACTTCCATCACACATTAAATACCAGCCTCTTGCAGATCCATCCGAGGCAGATGTGAAAGCCCTCTCTGCATCTCTCAACTTCACTAGCTTGAAAAGAAACAAGCAAGAAAGCAGAGAAAAGTGCCTGGGCATAGCACAGACTGTCACATGCTTCCCCTCACAATCCCACAGGAGCCCAGGCATTGCTATTACTCCCATTGATCAAAAAAGCCAAAAGAAATACACAGAAGCTACAGATGAAGGTGTCACAAGAACTTCATGGTTGAAGAGTTGAATAAAAACAGGAGCCATTCAGATAAACTGAGGGGATCTGATAGTGGCCTTTAACTCCCTGCAGGGGGTTGCAAAGAGGCTGGAGCTAGCCTGTTCTCAGTGGGGGCAGGAGACAGAACAAGGAGCAATGGGCTCCAGTTGCAGCAAGGGAGGTTGAGGTTGAATACTGGGAAAAACTCTCTCACTAGGAGGGTGGTGAAGCGCTGGAACAGGTTACCTAAGAGGTGGCAAAATCTCAATCCTTGGAGGTTTTTAAGGCCTGGCTCAACAAAGCCCTGGCTGGGATGATGTAGTTGGGGCTGATTCTGCTCTGAGCAGGGGGTTGGATTAGATGTGACCTCCAGAGGTCCCTTCAACCCTCATTTTATAGGATTCTAAACCTGCGGCTGCAGGGAGCAAAAGAAAGGACTGTGTCCCCTTACTCGCATCACAGAACAGCAATGCTGCACCAGCCGGTCACGTCGGGGTACTAGCACGTCCTGACTGCTTGCTAAATTCCTGGGAGACATAACCCCCCTGACAGAGCGTGCGACGGTGGTGAGAAGCTGTGAAGCAGTGCAACCAAGAGCCTAGGGCAGTAGTTCCATCTACAGAACAAAGTAATGAGAGAGATCTAATTTCAGGTCCACACAGAGCCCAGAGTTATGTTTGCCTTTCCTATTCTCTGGATGTATAAAAACCCCACAAACCAACAGGCTCAGCAATTTTTACCTACCATCTTGAAAGTCACTTTCTGCCTGCAGCTCCTTCAGCTGTTTAAAGGGATGCCGTTAGGTCAGAACTGACCAACCAGGTAAAGTAAAAAGAGTAAAAACAAAGAAACCCCCCCCCAACCAACCAACCAACCCTTTCATAAAATTTTAAACCAGTGGAAAGAATGCAAAGACTTACTTAAATCTGACAGAAATACCGAGAGTCCGTCTCCCCCAGCAGCATGCAGCTCAGTATTTAGGTGAGCACAGAAGAGAACCAGCAAGGACTTGAAAGGGAAGTGAAAATGGATCTCTCTAATTTCACTGTTGAAGCTGAGACAGTTATGTGCATGTCAGGGTGGAGAAGCAGACATTACACAGGCTTTATTCTTTAAGGTTCTGAGGAAACCCAGAATCTTGGCATCACGCAGGCTAGTAGTGGGTATTTTTTGTAAGAAGGAAAGAGAGGCCATTCCTCTTCCGGCTAATGGAACAGGGAGCCCAGATATTTGTCTCTGCCCAGCCGTGGCTATCCTGGGTCAGTGGATAGAGTACGACAGGGAAAGATGAAGCCAAGAACCACCCCCACCCCCAAACACACACATACCTCCCGAACTTGCCTACTTTGAAGACTAGAGAGCCATCCAAGCGCTGGTCCTGATTAGGAGATGCTGACCAGACTAACCCAGGGTGCAGAGGCCCACGTGGCAGCTGCTGCTGGGGCTGTGTGTGCCCAGCCAGCCAGTGATCCCAAGCACCAGGAGCTGGATAGGATCAGCCCTCACATCTGGCCTCCCACCAGTCAGCTGAGCGACAAGCGCCTGCCACTGGAGCTAAACAATGCCAGGCCAGTTACGGAGCCGCTGCTGAGAGTCCCCTTGCTGGGGAACCTCTGCAGGTCCCTCCTTCCCTCCCCTGCTCTAGAGCATCAAGTCTGCATCCCATTCCTTCCCCAGCATGGCCACATCCTTCCCGAGCCACCTTACCGTGCATGACAGCCATCAGCAGCTCAGCCCTGCACAGAGACACTGCTGCAGTTCTGCTTCTCTGTGGCATCGGCACCCTCTTCCCCCCACGCCTCCCAGGAGACCGGTTCTCCCCCCTCCGTCAACATCAACCTCAGCATCAGCTCAGCCCCTGCAACAGCCCTGCTCCTCTCCCTGCC